TTTTAGTCAGTGAGGAAAGGTGGGTTAGTTTTTAAGTATACTTCGAGTGCAGAGAGACAGAAGGCTTATCGGAGGAGAAAAGCCCAAGTCAAATTAGATGCTAGGTTAGTCAATGGTATTTTGAATCTGGAAACGGGGAGAGTGAGAAAATGGAGTAATGGGGCAATAAGCATAAATTCAAAAAAGAGTGAAGAAAAACAAAATTTAGATGTTTTCTCCAATTATTTCTAAGTCATCAGCAGTAATCCTACTATTAATAAGAATCCTATCTACTGAAAGACAATACATGTATCATACTGGTACACACATGTCATTAATGTTTTCAAATTTTAAAACATAATCAAATAAAATACCTACCGGTCGAGCCGCAGTTATTAAGCCAAGTCTATTATGAGAGGGGAGGTAAACGGGAGCACCGCTATCACTCTGATGATGACCCTCCTCAGCATGAGGTCGATAATTCTCATCCACACGAACCTTGATTAAACTTTGAAAATAGTCTTTAGGATCAAATCGCAAATAATAAGGAATTTGCACACCCTCAATAGTCAACCGAAGAACCGCATCAACATAAATATTCCATCTTCAGGGATTAGCTTTGACTCGTGTTGCACTAGTATCAACAACTGTTCCACACATATGACCAGAGGAACTTCCTCACCAGCAAAGTTCTTGATTTTCATACAATCAAGTTTGAGGTTGTGGTTGTCTAGACACCGCTACAAATTCTAATTCTCCCGCATTATCAACTATCATATCAGCACTTACTTGATCATCTCATAAAGTATATTGCTCATTATTAGGAAGTAATCTCAAAATAGTATAACTTATACCATTAGCGGGTTCATGTACTAAACTTCCAATTGCCCCTAATTGGATTGCTTCTTGTTGCACCCAATTTTGATTAGGAGTATAGTAAGCAGGGTTGCCATTATATGGAAACCCCATTATAGTACCATGCATACAACCACTCAAAGTTAAAAATCCATGGTCAAAGCGGTTGCGTCCGCGAACTTTTCTTACTGCAAAACCGAAAGTACATTTTTTAGCATTATTTCCATCAATGGGGGCTTCACCATGATTAGATTTAAAAATCCACATCCTCTTCCCGGCATGAACATCTACTGCTTGAGGTTGAGGAGGTTGCCGACGAACAAGATTATTAATGTCTGAAACATTTGACTCCTTTGTTAAATCATCAGATACAGAAACACTACCAGAATCCGTGTTATTAGGTGGCAAAAGATAACTTAAATCACCACTGGCTATTTTTAATCCACCGCTGTCCGCAAGAATTCTGTCGAGGGGAATGTAATATCAAAATCTACTCTTTTGACCAGTGCCACTTCTATCTCCCACTACTTGTCCTACCGGAGAAGCAATAGTTTGTTTAGAATTAGGAACTGACAGAGGAATATAAACGGGAGCACCAAGATCGCCTTCAGAATAAACTTTATTCATTAGCACTTTAGTTACATTGAAAAGTTGAGTAGTCTTATCTCCACACGTTTTCGGAACATTTACCGTTATTGTGACACCAAAATCCACAATTTCTCCACAAACAAATCCACTTTCTCCTCCAAAAGCACAAACTTCAAAGTTAAGAGGAGGTTGATTAGGAATAGGTAATACAGGAATAGATACTAATGGCATCACCACACTATTTCCCTCACAATCAGAATGGAGAACACTTTTACTAGTCAGGTCTGTTCAATATTCATCATATACACTTACAAACGCATACTCGAGACCAAGTTCAGGTTTAAAATTGTAGAAATTCGAAACTTTACCGATTAAAATATCATCTACAAAAACACTAGTGGTAGCACAATCATAAGAAATTAAAAATCCTTTGTTATCTCTAAATTGAACTGGAAAAGAAATTGTGCAAGGTACTTCACATAGTGGTAATCCTCCTTTGGAAGTAGGAGAATAACCTATAACACTTAACCCACCGCTCAGAAAGAATACTTCTTCTCGCTTAACTATTTCGGAACTATTTTGTCCCATGGTTAGTTCAGTTTCGGGAAGTGGAACTGAGAAATTATTGACTGAGGAAGTAAGAGAAGGAATTAGGTTAAAGATTAAAAAGATTTTGAGTAGATTATTCATAATATTAGTAAAAGATGTTAATTTTTAGCAGGAATTTCAACTTGGGCTTGAAATTCTTCCGCACTAGTTTCATTATAAGTCATGAGAGTATAATGACAGTTTTCTTTTTCAGCTATCTCTTCCAAAGCTTTGTCTATTGGTGTATAGTAGATAAAGTTATGGTGTTGATCGCTATTATCAACCTTGCTAATATAGCCTAACGCTTGGGCAACAGGACCTCCAATATTACTTACTGTATACACTGGACCGCCTCAATCTAATTCAGTATAAAAACCATAGTCTCCTAAGTCCACTTTATTTAAATTCTTAAAAAAAACTGGTCCAATACCGCTATCTGTTCACCTACTCAAGTCCATATCTACCACCTCACCGCAATGGTAACCACCACTAATAGGTCCATAAGCACATACTTCAGAACCTATTACAACCGAACCCATACCAATAACTGGATAAAGTTGAAATGATCCATCATCTGATTCCCCAACAACATAAGGACTAAGTTGTAAGTCACTATTGGTGTTTACAAAACCAAAGTCAGTAAAAGGAGGATTATTTAACGCAACAGCAAAAACTGTATCCCCAACCATACCTATTAACTGAGGCTTATCTGCTACTAGAAAAACATCATCGCCATGACCTGCAGAAGTTTGACCTATACCACAACCATAACTAATTTTACAGCAAAGAGCTGAAGTTAGAAAGCCAATTCCATCAACCCAACCGCAATAAGCTCGGTTATTTTCTTTGGTCGGAACTACAGCAAAACTAGTCACACATATTCCTTGGTCACCAATTTTTTCATCTCTAAAAAGTATTGGCATTCCAGCAAAAACCAAAGTTGGGTCAGCATCATTTCCTTGTTCAGTCAAATTAGCTGCTATTTTTGGTAAAAAATCAAGATTTATTTCTTTAGAAGCAATTTCAGTTTGATTATTTGTTTTTTCTTCTTTTCCTAAACCTGAACCAACTAGACTTAACAAAAACAATGATTTGATTTTATTATTATTTAGATTTATTTTCATATTATTATTAGATTATTTACTTGATATTTTTTTGCTAATTTTAGCAGACTAGCAACTGCTTGTTATTTCAACTTTCATAACTTAATCATCAATTATATAATATATTTTATACATATATGCTAGCAAGTATGTTAAAAAAAAGCAAATATTTCTCAACTCATCAGAGAGTTTTTACTTTTTTTTCTGTTTTTGGGCTAGTTGTTTTTCTAACTCTTTAATCCTTTTTCCTTGGCGAGAATTCTCCTCAACCAACTTTAACGTAGTTTGGCGTCAGTTTTCTAAGTAATCACCTAGTCCATCCTCAGAGAGGTTAATTCCTTTTTGTTCTAACATATTATAAAGTTCATTTCTTTTTAACTGTTTTTGCTGAGTTCTAGTTAACAGTGCTGTTTTGCCACCAAAGTAAGCTCGGAAGGTCCTTCTTTTTTTGCTGTCGGTAATGGAGTCTAAATAGGTTAGTTTGTGATGACGATAGAGGTCAATTAAGCAAGCGTCACACATGTATTGGTCCTGGTTTTTCTTTTGATCCGTTCAATAGCCTCAATGATTTTTATTGCTGTAATGTTGGCGCGGAGGGGAAAAGTTAACGGTTAGTTTTTTTTGGCACTTAAGACAATTGACTTTTAAAGGGGGTTTTAAGGTGTACATGTGAGTAGATAATAATTAATTTTTGATAGAAAAAGTGCTGAATAATGGGGATTATGATGGAGGATTAGCCGAGGAGCATGAGGAATTTACGAGGGAAATTTACCAACTAATTAAAAATTCAGAGGAATATTCAGAATGAGAAAGTAAGTGAAACGAAGTTCGGTGCTAACAAAGAACATTTTTAACTAAAATCCTTATATAACTTGTGCCAGACAGTAAAGAAAAAGAAGTAATCACCTATTACCTTCGCCCATTAGATAAATCAATTATCGTTAATGACCGCTTAATTAAGTATGTAGGCATTAGTTCTCATTGTGATAAACATTTCAAACATGGCATTACTCGGGAATTAATTATTGAAATGGTGGAAAGGTTGAATACCCGTTATTTTCCGTTCAGTAGCAAACAACCCAAAAAAAAGAATTATTTTAAAGATTACCCCGAAAAAGATGAACAAAGATATAAACTAGTTTGGTGATGGTGAAAAGAGGTGGATACTTACTTGTGAGTGCGGACTTGCCACCCTGATGAGGAGTAAAATGATAATATACAATTAACCATGAAAGCCAATAAAAAAGAGGAAATTATTACTATGCCACTGGACCAAGAGGAGGAGAAAATTTTTCAGTGAATAGAAAGCGAAGAATGCTTGGGAAGTTGAATGCCAAGTAAAAGTGCCAGTGTTAGTGAAAAAACTAAATACCAGTTTAGTCAAGTAATTACTCGTTATCTAGTGAAAAATAATTTGTCGGAAACTGAAATGGCTCATCGACTTGATTTAGATAAAAATGCGACGGCTAGACTGCTACGGGGTTATACCGAAAATTTTTCCTTGGATAGTTTAAGTGCTTATGTGGATAAATTACATTTACCTTTACAAGTAAAAATTACCGAGGAGAGAAAATTAGCAGGTCAACATTTATAATAAGCACAAACGAAGATGTGCCAAATAAAGAAAAAGAGGGAGGGGAAATTACTCCCCTCCTTCCGGACACTCTAAATGTCCCACCGCTTTTAATCAGAAATTTAGTCCGTAAGTGGTTAGGTGGCGTCCTAACCGCTCGGAAAAATATTCCTCTTTTTCGAGGTCATTCGCATAATCACTCACATAAAGGCGATAATTGCCTTTTAGAATATCCTGCTCTGTAAGATATTGTTGACAAGAACCACAGCAAAATTCTTTTAAATAATCAGTTTTGGCAAAAGTGCCAGAGAATTTTAATTCGATACTTGCCATGATTATTTAGTAATTTGCCCTCCGGGAATGCTCCGCATTTCTGTGGCTTGGTTATTGTCAGCAGTTACAGAGTAGTTAACTTGGCAATTATCGCACTGATCATCACCAAAGCAACCAAGACGATTTTTATATTCGCAAGTTAAAAGTTCGCGACCTTGCCGACGGACTTCGATACGAGCAAATATCCGTTCTTGATGCGCCAATTGTCTTTGAATAGCATCTAGTTGGCTTTTTAAATACTTAACTTGGTTTTCTATTTTCTTGAAAACTAGTTCAGCAAAAGCCTCTTTGGCTGGTTCAAATTTAAGTGCAAATTCTACTTTATCTCTGATTAAGTATTCTAATCATCAATTATCGCAATTCTCTTTTTCTTTTTCGGCTTTTACTGCTTCGGCTAAAAATTTGGTGCTAAACTGGTTTACTTCCTTTAAATAACCGACCAATTGTTCGGCCTTTTTTTGTTCGGTTCTTTATTTTTAAAACAAAGAGTTAGAAGACTTTTGAACAAACGCCTCCTTGCTTGGAAAGTCAAAGATAATTCTCTGGTAGAGAGTAACTATTTTGATTTGATCTGACCTAGCCCCTTAACTTTATTTTTTAATTAGCCCTGAAAAGTTAAGCCTCCTCTGTTTTTCAATTTCTTAGCAGCCCTTTTCGCTCGGAAAAAAAACAACTCGCTATATTTAACTTTTACTTATTTTCTCCCCTAGAACCTAGCTTTCTATAAGACAAATCTTCTTGTATTATTTGAACCTTTTGCTGTCTCTCTTGGTAGTTTTGGTACTCCTCAGCAACTTTGACAAAGTCTTCGTCTTCTAAATCACTAACAGTTGGCCTGAAGCGATAAATATTTTCTCCTTGCACATGTCTACTTGGCTTATAATCTAGCATAACGTAAACTTTATCTGGAAAATCTTTGCTCACCATTTCTATATGAGTATGATCACCACTAATATTCACGTCAAAATCAGGGTGATTATCTTTCACTCAGTTCCAATCAAAAGGTTCGTGTTTGCCATCAATAACTTTAATAGTAAAAAGATCTAGTTTGCATTGAGGAAATTTTCCAAAAGTATTAGCAAATCTCTTTTTTCTAGATTTTACCGTAAAAGACGGTTCGCCTTCTTTACCAATATTGCGGGTGCGAACAAGAATTACTAACTCTCTAATCAAGTCTTCTTTTAAGCATTTTAATAAATCCTCAGAAACATTAAGAAAGGGCATTTCTTCTACTACATCTAATATTTTGTATTTATCAGCATTTTTATCGGGAGCCGTTTTTCTTTCCTCGAACAATTTAGTAAATTCGTCATAGGTTTTCTTTATTTCTCCTTTACCATTCCAAACAAATTTCATAGTACCATCCTGCAAAGTAGCTAATTCATCCGCACTTTCCCAAAATTCTTCAAAAAATTGTTTGGAAGATGCACCAGAAGAATCAAATTTGTGTACAACTGTGGGTCGAAAGGCAAAAGTTACATCATCTCAACCAGAAACAATTTTCAAAGGACGACCTTTTTCTTGAAATTTTTGTTTGATTAACTCATAAAGAGAACTTATTTTTGGCATTTTAATATTGTACTATAATTTTAACTAAATCGGTTCAAACTTCAACAAAATTTCCAAATTTCCTTCCTTAAAATACTATTAAGTTTTTTAGTTTTCCACTCAATATTTTAATTCTTGTAAAAATTCTGTGTTGTCTATTTTTTTTCTATTCTAACTTTGCCTCAGACACGAATATAAGATGATTCTTTGTTTTCGTTAGAGCAGAAGGAAAAATCATAATCATTTTCATGATAGTTGGTAGGAATATAAAGTTTTTAAAATTTAGCGATTAAAAAGAGTTGATCCCTAGGCAAAATGGGACTTTTTGCTAGGATTTATTTTCGGGGATTTTTAGATAATTGGGATTGTGAAGGATTTGGGATTGTTGCTGAGATTGATCTTGGAGTTTTTGTTTATAGGCTTGGAGTTTTTGGGAAAAGTTTTTGATATACTTCTTTCCGGAAGAATTATTTTTTATTTCCACTATTCCTTGCTCATTGGCAAATAAGTTAAAGATAGTTTGGCATTTGGCATCTTTTCTTTTGTCTGCCAAACAAGCAAAATCTTCAATACTATCAGGTAAATATTCTAAACCGCTATCTATGTCAGTATTGCTAATATCAATTCTTTTTAATTTGCTTAAGTCTTGCAAAGGCTCCAAAAAACCGCTAATTTTAGTATCATCAATGCCAAGTCTTTTTAATTGTTTCATCTCTTTTAAAAATTCTAAAGAGCCGTAGAATTTATTATTTCTTAAACCAAGATATTCTAAATTAACTGCTCCTTGCAAGAAAGATAAATCTTGGTAAAAATTATTATTTTGTAAATATAATTGCTTTAAACTACCGCAATCCTGAGGCAAAACAAGATCAGTTAGTTTATTATTGCTACAGTTAAGATAAGTTAAATCAGAATAATTACTTACATCTAAGTTGGTTAGTTGATTATCAGAACAATTAATTCTCTTTATCTTAGAACAATTACTAAGCTCCAAACCTGTTATTTGATTATAATCACAATATAACATCTCCAAATTAATAAAATCACTTAAATCTAGAATTCCTGTAAGTTTTTTTTGGCTGAGTTGTAATTCTTTTATCTTTTCTCTTTTTTCTCTGGGATAATTTTTATCTAGTCACTCTTGAGCTGGACTCTCTCCATAAGAATCAAATTCCTTTCTCAATTTCTCTAAATTCAAACCTTGATTTGGATGATAACCTTTATTTCTTAAATAAGACGCAAATTCAGCATCTTTTTTAACTAAGCCGACATCCATCCAAATTTTGGCTTTTTGGGAAGTAAAATTTTGATTTTTTCATTGTTTAATCATAAAAGATTCATTTGGTTTAAATCCAACTGCTACTCATTCTCAAGCATCTTGATAAGTGAAACTTTTTTCTTCTCATTTTTGTTGGTAGTAATCATCAAAATCCTCATGTATGTCTTTTCAATCTTTTTTTTCTAGTTGCTCATCATGCTTGCCAAGTATCCCAATCTCTTTTTCTAAATAAACAGCATACTCATTCCTCCATCTTTCAATATTTTGAGGATAACTTGATCTTTTTGCTATTTCTATGGTTAACTTCCTAATATCTCTTAGCCAAGCACAAAAGTCAGCATCGATTTTAGGATTAAAGTCAATTAAAGCAGTGGCTCATTTTTGTGTTTGTTCATAATCAAATCCTTCTTTTAGTCATCTCAACACTATTTCCTTGTTAGAGAATTCTGGATGAATTTCTTGTCAATTATGGTCTCCAGTCACGCTACTTAAAAAGATATTTCCTCCTAACTCTTTATTAATGACTTCATAGTTGTTGAAAATATGTTTCAATACTTTTTGGCGAATAACTTTTTCTTTTTCGGCAATTTCTTTTCTCAATTGCTCTTTTTTGTCCTGAAGTTGGGCAATCATTTTTTCATATTCTTCTCTTCTAACAATCATATTTGCTTGACCTTCTTTTTCTTCTAAAACTAGTTCTACTTGACTACTAGGGACGTTAGCACTGCCAGTTTGTCTTGAAAAAGTTTGAGAAATAGAGGAAGTTTTTGTCTCAGAATTTAATCTTTCCATCTCTTCCTCTAATTCTTTTTGTAACTCTTCTTTCTTTTCTAAATATTGAAAATAATCATTAGCAATTTCATTGCTCAACTTTTGTAATTTTTCTGGATTATAGTCTTCTTGGCAGTTTTTATTTAGGTGTTTTAACACCTTTTCCCTTGACTTACCTCTTTTTTTCTTATTCGATTTTGAATCTTCTTCACTAATACCTCGAATTCCCACTGGTGGATTATCTACATGGACAACTCTGCCTTGACAGGATTCAATTATTTCACTGAGAGTTGACTTTAACTCTTTTTTTAATTTTTCAGTCTCTATTAACAATTTTTGATATTGTTCATCATGTGAAGATATGCTCTGCATCTTCTTTTCGTTATCAGCAATCTGATTTTCTAGTTCGGATTTTTTTTCTTGAGCGGCTTCTCTCATTAATCTAATATCTTCTTGACACTCCTTTCCACTTCTGAAATTCGCGAAACGAGTGCGAGCAATAGTAGTGTGGTTAGTAATATGCTCATCAAAAATAATAGTTCTAAGTAGATTATAAGTAGCCATTTCTGATTGATCAAACCTACCACCTACTACAAATAATACTTGGCTAATACCATCCTTAGCCCGGTAAACTGCCTCAGCAATGATGTCCAGAACCTCACTATCCGACATTTTGGTATCGCCAATACCAGGTGTGTCAATTACTAAATAATTAGTGCCGTCTTCTTCAAATTGTTCAAATTGGATTTTTTTGGTTTCGCTAACACTTCTGGAGCTTTCCTTAAAAATTTCTTCAAAATTGTTATTTTTATTTAAAAGCACATTAGCCAAAGTAGATTTTCCTCGACCTGATCTGCCAATTAAGAGTATTTTTTTAGTTTCTGTCATAATTCTGGTTTATTTTTGTGTGTTTTGTTCTATTGCTAGAGTTAATTTTCTAAATGCTGACAATTCTGCTGACAAGCCGTCTTTTATATCTTTAATTACTTCACTTTTTATTCTTTTTAAATCCTCTTCTTTAGTTTCACTATTACCTTGCTCGATTTGATCTTTTTCCTTAATATATTCAAATACTTTTGCGTAAATACTGTCTCATTTCTTCAATTTATAAGGAGTTTGGCAACAATTTTTTGCGAGATGGTTCAACACTATTTTTCTAGCCTCTTGTTTTTTTTCCTTAATTCGGCTTATTTCTTCCTCATCGTCACTGTCGGCATCCTCCTCATCTATTTCAGGTATGGGTGGATTGTCCACATATATGATACCGTTGCAGGAATTGATTGTTTCTTTAAGGTCTTTGTTATCTTCGCTAAGTAAAGATTGTCTATCCTCTTCACACGACTTCTGGTCTCTGAAACTTGGAAAATTAGTGCGAATTAGGGTAGTATATTTAGTAATACCACTTTCTGAGATAAATTTTTTAAAGGTATTAAAGGCTGCTATTTGTTCGGGACCAAACCTTCCTCCAAATACAAAAAGAACTTGGCTTATTCCCTCTTTAGCGGAACAAATACCTTCGCCTATTCTTAATAGAATATCTTCTTCTGAGATATCACGATTGTCTCCAAAACCGATATTATCGATTACACAATACTCCTTTTTTTCTCACTCGAAAGGTGAACTTTTTCGAGAAGTTGTCGTTTTGCTAGTGCTAAGATTACTTTCTCCAAATTCGTCAGTGTTAACTAAGAGATTAGCTAGAGCTGATTTTCCATTACCAGTTATTCCGATTATTAATATATTATTATTTACCATATTTTTATTCCTTTATTTTTATGTATTTTTAGATTTTTTTATTAGTTCACATTCGCTAAGTAAATTAAACTGCGGAGTGATTTTAAAAACGTACTAAACTTTTAGATATCTGTTTACTTTTTGGTCATAGGCATTTTTGAAGTTTTCTGTTTTTACACGAGAATTGACACTCTAACACTCCATATGCAGAAGAGAAAGCGAGTTTATATATAATATTTTAATATCTTATTTAATTTATTTTCATTCAATATTGCTTTTTGAAGGCTAAAAACATTTATATGATAGACACCAAAAACATAATCATAATTGGCAAATTGGGAAGTGGCAAGTCCGCTTTGGCAAATGTGCTAAGCGGATCTGACGAATTTAAAGAAGACAATTCTTCACTTACCAAGGCTTGAAGAGCAGTTGACAAAGAATTTGAGCATGAAGGAGTAAAATATCGAGTGATAGATACGGTTGGACTAGGGGATAAAGCGTTAACTAAAGAAGAATTATTAGAAAAATTTGAGGAAGAAATCGGTGTCTACGTTGATGAAGGAATAAATCAAATTTTTTTTGTAATGGATAAAAAGATAGACAGGGAAATATTAAATGAATTTCTTTGATTAAATGAATGTCTTTTTGATAAAAAAGCATTTGATTATACCACTATTATCAGAACTAATTTTGTTAATTTTAGAAGCAAAAAAGAATGTGTAAGGGATATTGATGAACTAGTTACTTTTTTTAGTAATAGCAAAAAAGAGGATGAGGAATTAAACAATAAAATTCTTAAAAAAGAAAAGGTTATCCATGTAGATAATCCACCGGTAAGTTTTAACGACCACAGCAATCATGATAAGGAAATTGAATCAAACAAAAAACTCCGACAAAAATCAAGAAAAAAACTATTGGATTTCCTAAACAAATTTAAGGATGAAGCACCTTATAAGTCAAATTTAAGAAAATGATTAGATGAAAACTATCCTGAAAATGAAAGAGAAGATAAAACTGTGTTAAATGTCAGCAAACAAGAACTAAAAGGAACATTACGACTAAAAGGATTCACTAATTTAAAAAGACTAAATTGTTCCAACAACCAATTAACTAGTTTGGATTTAAGTGATTGTCCCAATTTAATCGAGATTGACTGCTCCAACAACAAATTCACTAACTTAAATTTTCTTAAATTAATTGAGAAATTAGAACAATTAAATATCAGCAATTGTCCCGTGAAAGGAAGTTTGAAATCCCTAGCAAATCTAAAAAATCTAGAAGTATTATTTATCACTAACACTAATCTTAACGAGGGGTTGGAATACTTACCAACCAGTTGTAAAAAAATTGTTTGCAACTCCAATCCCCCAACTAAAATTATGGAAGAATTGGACAAAAGCAAGTGTTCAGAAGAAGATTCTTATAATAAAAAATACTACAATATTGATAAATGAAGAGAGACAGATAAACAAAATAATCTCACTGCTTCAGCCATCCCACTGGAAAGACTCTTTGTAATTAGAAGTAACATCAAAAAATTTATTAACAAATGGAGTGAAGAAACTGAGGATAACTGATACAAAGTCAGTTATTGAAAAAATCAACAATCAGTAGAAAAGAAAAAAAATATACTGAGTAAATTAGAACATCCAAATGATTTTAGTAAACAATGATTATTAACTGCCGGTATTCAATGAGTTAATAGAGCCACCTCGGTAGTAGGTGGTGGTTTGTTGTTGGTGGGTCAATCAGATACGACAGACTCTAATTCTCAACTTTATACTCAAACCGGAGGTGTAATTGCCATTGCTGCTCCTTTTATTGAAACGGTTACTTCTTACATAAACGAGCAAGTTTATGATGCCAAGCAAAGGAGATGAGACGAATTTATTAGTGACACTGCCAATTTGCTTGACAACTACCACGAATTATTGGGAATACTAGAACAGATTAAAATCAATGAATTAGGAGAAGTTAATGAGGCACTTAACGAATTGAGAAAAAAAACTCAACTATTTTTAAAAAGATACGACAAAGATGAAAATAGAGCAATTGACATTTCAGAACTAATAGACGAAAGAGAAGCATTGGCGGCAGATTTGAGTAAAGATAAAGAAGAAAACAACAGCAGTCAATTGAATAATATTGTTCTAGCGATAAAAACTTTGGAAGGAGAAGTGATTAATTGCCGACAAGGAGTTGGAGGGAAAAAAGTAGAAGTGCAAAACCAAGAAAGGTTATTTGAAGAAAACATTTTATTCCAAAAAGAAGATTATCAAACTATTGATTTAGTTGAATATTTTGAAGAAAGAATGGAAATTTCACCTAAGGGTAATAATTAAATTCCCTTTCTCGTGTCTTTTATCAGGAATAAGAATAAAGAACAAGGCTTAGCAAGAACTTCCTGAATTAGTAGCATCTTGCTATTGATTCTGAATTCAGAATTTAAAATTAACCTTTTTTTAATTCCTCTCTTTCTAATTCAATAATCAAGCCCTGATTAACTTAGCATCAGGGAAACAGTAATAAAAACCTGCTTGGAATAGTAAACACAAACCTCATAATAGTTAACTGTTGTCTATGTTAACTGCTAACTTGGTTAACTGTTATCCAGTTTAAGGAAATCAATTAAAATATACAATATGACAGAACTATTAATAATTAAAACTGCTGATGCAGGAAAAATAAAAACACTTTTAGATAAAGGAAAGGCGGATTATCAAATTATTTATGATGAACCTTTAACTGATAAAAAATCAAGCAAAAAAGATAAGTTAAGAGAATATATTAAGGCCAAAAGTAAAGAAAATATTTTTTCTGATTATGGCAAAGCCCTAAAAGATAAAGAATTAGAAGCCGAAAAGGAACTATTAGAAAATGACCTTGATTAAAAAAGTTAAAGTGAAACCGAAAATTGGCGAAGTCAAAAAAGGTGAAGTTTATCGTTACTGAATTTGAAAACATGAAGCAGTAGGCACGGAAATTAAAAAGAAAGAACGATTAGGAGTAATTGTTTCTACTAATGGACTGAATAAATGAGATAAGCGTTTTGTGATTGTTCCTTTAACTAGTAAAAAGTTAGGAGAAATCTACCGTTATGAAACTCGCACTTTTGTTGACAGTAAGCACGGCAAGGCTCTAATCGACCAAATAAAAACTGTGGATAAAAAACGGCTAATTGAGAAATTGGGACAATTAACTGAAAAAGAAATGGATGCTATTCATGAAAAATTGTTTTCGATATTTGACTTATGGGAATACTTAAAGAAAAGAGAATTAGTATAAAAACACCAAAAATTATTGCTTGCTTATCACAAAAAGGAGGTGGGGGAAAATCTACCCTAGCCCGTGCTTTATCTGTGCAGCTTACCAAGCAAAAATTTAATGTTTTACTAGTTGATTTAGACATCCAACAAAAAACTAGCCAAGAATGAGCGGAAAGGCGCAGAAACCAAGGAATAAAACCTCTTATTAATTGCCAATCCTTTCCTTACTTCCCACCTGAATTATTAAAGCAAAATTACGATTACTTAATAATTGATGGACCAGCCAAAATAAGTAAAGAAAGTTTATTAATTGCCAAGCAAGCCAACTTAATTATCCAGCCTGTCCGTCCTAGCCTGGATGACTTAAACCCTGCTGTCCGGGAATTTAATGGACTATTTAAAGCAGGAATTCCGAAAAGTAAATTAAATTTTGTAATAAATGCGGTTGGTTCTCCCGCTATGGAAAAAACTACTCGTGATTATTTATCACCCGCAGGATATCATATTTTTACTATTTACTTGGAAGAAAAAGTTTCTTACCAAGAGGCTCAAAACCAAGGATTAAGTATTGGAGAAGTGAAATATAAAAGATTACAAGACCAAGTAAAGAAATTAGTAAAAGAAATAATAAATTACTCGTAATTGGTCATTCTTAGATATTAAAAAAATTGTTAACAGTTATCATAGTTAGCAGTTAACAGTAAAATATAATATATGAATCAACTAACTGGTTTTTCAAAAGTAAATTTTACTTGTGATAAATGTGGAAAGGAATTTCACCAAGAGACTACCTATTCAGTAGCCCAAAATTGGGAGGAATTGGATAATAATCATACTTACTGCCTCAATTGTGTAGAAAAGGAGGAAAAAAAGGGAGAAAAAGAAAGCAAGCCCAAGACTAAAAAACAAAGAAATTGAGGCACTGCCCCTATCAACGAAGTTAGCGAAAACATTCAATCCCTAAATATTGACAAAAGAACTTTAAAAAAAACGGGGAGAGTTCATTTGTTTGCTACCCGAGTAAAAAAGGAGTGAATAGACCAGTTAAAATCGATTGCTTATGAAGAAAGAAAGCATTATAATGAGGTGTTGGAAAAGGCCTTGGAGTGTTATAGTAAACATAGGAAATAAATCATGCCAAAACAAATATTAAAATGTCGTTGTCGGCCAGGCTATAAATGTCCTGCTCCCTTACATGGAACAATAGAAATTATCACCTGTGAAAAGAACTGTGGACTAGGTTGTGCTAATAGTTCAGGCCAAAGGAGGAAAAGAAAACAATAAAATTATTTCGCCCATTGTGTAAATTAATTTTCCTTCAATCACTTTTCTAACTTGGCTTTTTCTTTTTGATAGTCTTTTAATTGAGCCTCTAATTTATCTAATTGTTTATGGAGGAATTTGCGTTGGCTGGTTAGTTTATAGATTTGAGTATTTAAGAAGCGAATATACTCTTTTTTGCGGGTAATTTCTTCGGGAGTAGGTTTTTTGTTCATATAAAATTAATTTGTAAGACTATCAAAATAAATATAACCATGGCAGTTAAAATGAGATACATTTCTCGACAGTAAAGAGGCAGCCAAGAGATTTTTTAATGAGGTTTTTATTCATTATGAAAGTGAAATCAAGAAACTTCCCAAATTCAAAAACCTGGCTTCCAATGCTAGCGATAAAAGAAAATTACAAGCGTTAGGTATTCTTTTCACAAGTGTGAAATTAGCCAACATCCGAACCAGAATTAGAGAAGACGCGGGAAAATGAGCCAAAAAGAAAAAAGCGGAAGGTGCTACTCAAAGTGAAAATTTTTTAACCAACGATTATATTAAAGGGAAAGAAGGACAGACCGGAACCGTTTTTAATTATAAAATTGATGAAGAATTCAAAAGAGAAAATGGTCGTTTACAAAGGATTAATTGTGCTTTTGGAATAGCTTATCGTGGTAATTCACCGGAACATTCTCTTCCCGCTGATGCCAGTGGTTTAGGAACGGGTGATGGAAGCGACAAAGCTCCACCACCACCTCCTAACCACAACAATAGCACCAAGCAAAAATGCGACACTTGCCCAAAGAATAAAAAGGGACAAAAGGCATGATTTAAAAGCCGAAGTGGAGGAGAGTATTGCGATGTATGTTATAGAAAGTATTTTATTAACAATGTCCTACAAAAACTGCCTGGCTGAAATGAACTTAATTCCGAAACAAAAGAACACTACTTGTTGCAAATTGATAAATGTAAAAAGAGTAGCGATTTTAAAATTCTTAAACAATTAGTTATCGCCACTATCCAAAAAATTGCTGCTACTTGTTCCCATTGTCAAAAAGAGTTTCATGGTAATCGTTGAGGCATTGAAAAAGAGGAAGATAAATTATTTTGTTCAGAGAATTGTGCGAGAAACTGACAAAAAAAAAAAAAAAACGGGGGCCAGGATCAGAACCATGACGAAACAGACTCTCAGGGAAATGGAGGAGACACACCAATAACTGATTCGGGGGAAGATGATGACAACTCGGAAGCTAATAATTCTGACCAATCTAATTCTAACTCTGACGACAACTCTGATAACGACTCAACTGACGACGAAGACGGAAATAATAATGATAATCAACTACCAGAAAATATTCAAGCAATTTCTCGTCTCCCTCTTCCCCAAGCCCAACAAAAATCTGAACAAGAAATCGAAAAATC